TTAGGAGTTATGCTACCTGATTTTAAAACTTACTATGAAGCTGTGGTAATCAATATAGTGTGGATTAGCAAAACGATAGACAGATCAATGGCGCAGCATAGAGAATCTAGAAATGGACCCACACAAACATAGCCAATGGGTTTTGGGGAAAATTTGCAAAAGGAGTTAAATACAGGATAATCTCTTCCACAGATGATGTTAGATCAGTTGGACATCTGTATAAAAAGAGAACCTCAATCTAAACCTTAAGTTTATGCAAAAATTATTTCTAAATGAATCACGCATCTAAATATGAAAAGTGAAACTATAAAAATGTTAGAAGAACACAAAGGAGAAAAGTTTTGTCGCTTTGGGGTAGGCAGAGGCCCATGCCCCCACTTCAGGTCTTTGAGATTCTTTCAACGTGTGCTTCTGTTCGGTAGATAATTGATGTTTGACTTCTACCAGGTAGTTTTTATGACTAACATTTGTTGAGCAGTTACTCTGAGGCAGGCATTGTTCTAACTCAATCCTACAACACCCCTGAAAAATAGGCCCTATCTCACTTTGGAGATGAGAAACTGAAGCACAGAAATATTAATAAAGATGCCTAGAGTAACTTCTGTGAACCACAGAACTACAAGTGCCCTGGGCAGTCTCTTGTGAGATGGCGCCGTTACCCACTCAGTCTGACATTCTCACCCTGCTCATCCTGCTTGGAAATGCAAGTCACTAATATTCGTGGCTCCTGTGACCCACACTGTGTACAATTGTGTGTGTGTGTGTGTGTGTTTGTGTGTGTGTGAACTTTATTCACAGGCCCACACTGAGGCTGGCGGGCTTTCTGCCTTTGAACCCCAGTATTAACCCACTTGAATCTATTTAGCGCCATCTTGTGTTTGTAGTGGGTTTTACTGAAAGCAGTGTTTTAGCACTAGGGCTGGGGAACAAAAGATCTAAGTGGACAAGCTTTTGATTTCCCAAATATTACCACCAATCAGTGTGATCAGAAACTTGAACTCCACTAGACATGAACTTTCTGGTGACTTCCCTTCTGCAATGTGGTCAGTTAATAGAATCTAGGAGGGAAACAGATCATAAAGAGAAACATTCAAGTTGGCCTTTAAATCTCCCTTTGCCTTCCTGTTTTGTAGCAGTGTCCTGGCTTCGTGGGCTGCCTGCAGCCCCAGAGGCCCTGAGAGGTTAGGATGGAGACCTTCTTTCCTGCCTTTCTAGCTCTTGGGGGAGGGCCCAAGGGATGCACCTTTCAGAGACCCAAGAACCTGCATTGTCTCTCCTGTGCTGTTAGACAGATTTAAAAGATGCTAAAACCTGCCTGCAGATTTACTTCTTTGTTTATTTTTTTTCAACTATAGTTTACATTCAATATTATTTTATATCAGAGGCCTGGTGCACGAAATTCTGCACAAGTAGGGTCCCTAGGCCTGGCCGGTGATCAGGGCCAATCTGTGGGACAACCAGCTGGGTGATCAGCCAATCAGTCCCCCCCCCCCGCTGGCACCCACTTTGGCCAGCCTGGTGCCACCTGCTTGCTGGCCCTCCCCTCCCCCCCACCACCAGTGCCGGTCACCTCCCTCTGCAGGGCGACTGGCAAGGCGATTGAGAGGCCCCCACTGGCATCTGCCTTGGCTGGCCTGGGGCCTGCGGGCTGGGGGCAGCTCCTGCCCTCTGATGGTCAGTGCACATCATAGCGACCAGTCATTCTGCCATGTGGTCAATTTGTATATTAGGCTTTTATTATATAGGATTAGCTTCAGGTATACTGCATAGTGGTTAGACAAGCACCTAGTTTACAAAGTGTTCGCTCTGATATTTCTAGTATCCACCTTCTTCAACAGCAGAACTCAAATGGGAAAAAGACTGTGGTACAAATTCCCCCTCCCTGGAGTTTCGCCAGCTTGTTTTGGAAGGGAGAGGAGGAACAAGAGGGGAGAAAGGGTAAGTGAGGCAGGATGCACTGAATTCTCAGAGCTCTTCCCTGAAGTGGAGGTGGCAGGGGTACACTGCTAGTAAAAAATTCTAAAAACCAAAAGAAAAGCATCTAACATTTTACAGTCTGATTTCATCCCCGTTTCTATAGAGGAGGTTTACTTTTCTGTTATAGAAGTGAAAGATGCTCATAATTGAAAAGTGGGTAAATAGGAAAATAATACATCCAAAGAACATATGCACAGTCATAATGCTCAATGTATCACGGGGCTTCCTTTCCCTCTGGGCATGAAGGTGTTAGTGCTTACCTGAATTATGTGATGTTTATTCATGATTTTCTACATGTTAATTCTTTTATTATAAACACTTTACAGTTAGGACATAGCTTTGGTAAATGACCGTATGCTGAGTTCCATAGCTATGATGGGTATGTAGGTGTTCGTTGATATTTTGATGTTATAGATGACACTTCAGTGAGTTTGCTTCATCCCGTTTCCCCCTTTAACATAGGGTTATTTCCTTAGGTAGATTCCCGAAATCACATTGATGGGGGTGGGGGCAGAGAGGACTTTCAGGCTCCGAGTACCGACAAGGAGGAGCCAGACCATCATGGCTGGGGCTGGGCCCCACCCCTCAGTAGTTGTGGGTTTGGGCACATTCCCTCACTTTTCAGAGCCTGAGTTTTTTCCTCTGTCAGGTGGGGGTAATAATATCCACTGCACAGGAGAGCTGTTGCATTAATAACACATATGACTCCCCCCCCCCCCTTAGAGCATGGCACACAACAGGCTCTAAATTATATAGTGACTATTTTAAAAAACAATGACAGCACTAAATAGTCATATTACAGGACTTGTGCCAATTTGCCCTGCCACCGGTAATGTATGAAGTTACTTGTTTACCCTCACCAGCAATGAATAACCGAATCATTTCTTTGATTATTTCAGTGAAAATGCTACCTCAATATTGTTTTAAGTTTGCATTTTTGTTAGAGAATGAACTTCTTTGTACATTATGTGAACCAGCTTGTTGTCTCTTATGAAAAGCTTTTGGCTTTTTTCTGTTGGCATTTAGTATTTTCTTATCAATTTGTATGAAGTGTCTATGTATAATACATCATTTAAACCTTCATCATATTTGCTGTCATTTGTCCTTTTATCTACTGTTATCTTTTTATATCAAACTTTGGTTTTCTTTATATGTGACATACATATTTCTCATTCAGATGAGAAAGTGGCTGCAATCATGACCTCTTCATTGTAAATTCTGTAGATGAATATTTTATTGAATCTATGACATTCCTTGCAAAAATAACAAAATTATGTATTCATTTCCAACCATCCTACGTCTCATTATTTTTCATGTCATTAAATTTTCCTGAACTCTAGAGCAGTGTTAAGTGATCATGGGATTAGGAGGCATCATTTTAAAATGATTCCTGATTTTAATAGGAACAGCTCAGTGTTTCACCGTTAAGTAGAATATAAATATGTTATTACAATAATTACGCTGTTTATTGTGTCAAGGATCTAAGTAATTTTTTTTTAAGTTTTGAGTTTTTCCATATATAGGGGCATAATTTTTTCCAGAATGATTATGCGGTTGTGTTATTTGATCTTTTGTTGGGTAGGATAATAATAGCTTTCTAATATCACACATATATTTGTATGCTTGCAATTATTATATACTCACTATTTCGTGTTTTACTTTTCTCAACTAACACCATTTTATATAGACTCTCCTACAACCTACATGTAAACTTGTATGTGTGTGTGATGCATAAATAAAGAATGTGAGCCTTGGCCCCTGTGGCTCAGTGGTTAGAGTGTTGGTCTGCACATCGAAGGGTCTTGGGTTCGATTCGTGGTCAAGAGCATGTCCCTGGGTTGCAGGTTCAATCCTCAGCCCTGTCCTGGGCATGTGCAAGAGGCAATCGATCCATGTGTCTCTCTCACATCAATGTCTCTCTCTCTCTCTCTCTCTCTCTCTCTCTCTCTCTCTCTCTCTTTCTCTTTCTCCTGCTCCTTCCCTCCCTCCATTCCATTATTCCATTTTCTCTAAGAAAGCAATGGGAAAAATATCCTTGGGTGAGGATTAACAAAAAAGAAAAGCAAAGAAAGAATGTGAGAAAAATGCATTAATATATCAAGAATGCTTAACCTAAATTATGGGATTATGAATTATTTTTACTTCACTCCTCCATGTTTTCCAGTTTGTGATGTCCTACTTTTACCATGAAAAGAAAGTATTGCCTAACAATGTCAATGCCAGGCCCATTAATTATGGGTGAAATGAGATTTAGGAGGTCAGATATGGTTTTAGGGAGCCTACTTAGTTAGAGTATGTAACTTCTGCTCATTATCTAGAGTCCAAACTATTTTGATATGAGGGAGCTGAAAACATGGAGTTCATGTATTTTTGAAAAAGGAAATGCCATGGCTCGGATTTTCTTTTTTAATAATGGCAATATGTGGTGACTGTTTTCCTTCACTAAGAATTTAGGACTTTGTGTTTGAAAAATGATATTTTTCATGATTTCTGACATCTTAAACTCTGCAAGTCTTTAGAAGGAATTACAAATAATATTAAAAATACATATATGTATCCCTTATCTACAGGATTCAAATGGCCTCAGCTGGGGATGTTCCAGAGCCTCTGGGGCAACTAGATAGGTTGTTGTGGAAACTTCATTAGTCCTCGGGCCCCACCAGGAGGCTACAGACCAGACACCATCTTGTGGCTATCGCTGCCTGTCTACTGCACACAGATATAGAAACGTCGAAACATGCATTTACACATCAAGATGCAGAGAAACAGCAATCACTGCATTTGGTACCTTAATTGCATCTTCCAGGCGCCAGGAATAGCCCTTGTTTCTTCTGCTGTGATCCACACTTTTCTCTCTAAAATGAGATTTTGCTAATTTCAGAGCCCAGCATTTTCTTCTAATTTGGTTCTTAACATACTGTGTACTTAAAGTATGAAAATCTCCACAGCCATTACGATCGCTGAAAATTATATTTACATGTAAAACCATAATGTCTCCTTGCTTCTTTTTCTCTCCTCTGTAGCTCTGGGCCAGATTATGTTGTATGTGGATGGGATGAACGGAGTAATAAACCACAATGAAACCATTCAGTGGCTGTACACTCTCATCGGGTCAAAGGTAAGAGAAGGTTCTGGTTGAACATGTCATTCAGTTTCAGTATCATCTGCCTTTTTCTGTTACCCTGTCTGAGATGCTTTTGCAGAAAGGAATCTTTTTTGGCTTGGTTCTAGCCCTGTCACAATGCAAATGAGGACTCCTATTTTATAGATTTAAAAAGACACTCAAATGGCAAGAGTTTATGACTCTTTAATGCATTTTATGTTTTCTTCTTTTAAGTTTAATCAAGTGCTTTTGGCGCCTCTTGTTTTTAATGATTAATTTAAAAACTATACCATCACCCGGCTGGAGTGGCGAGGTTGGCTGAGCGCTGTCCTGTGCACCAAAGCGTTGCCAGTTTGATTCCCAGTCAGGCCAGGTGCCTGGGTTGCAGGTTCAATCCCCGTTTGGGGCATGTACAGAAGTCAACCAATGGGTGTTTCTCTTTCTCTCTCTCCTCCTTCCTTCTCTAAGCATATCCTCCGGTGAGGATTAAAAAATATGTAATAAAATAAAATAAAAACTATACCATAGACACAGTATCAATCTTACCTGCTATATTTCATATTCAGATACTTAAGCACATATGTATGGGTTGTACCGATGTGTATGCGTGTTCCTATATATAGATGAAAGAATTTGAGACTGTCTTTCAACTCCGCCATTCACTACGAAAGTAGCCAACATTCATTAAATATTTACCAGGCAGCAGGCATGGTAAAAACGCTTTGCAAACATGATCTCCTAAAAGGTAAATTATTTTATTCCCATTTTTTAGTTGGGGAAATAATGCTTAGTTATAAGAATCTATCTGATTTCCTGCGTGGATATTGGCATGTGTCTGCCCCGCCATGCCTTGGCTATGATGCCCTCATACTCTGGGAGTGTGAGGCCAAGGAGGCAGCTCTATCCTATCACTGCATGTCCTGGCAGCTGGGTGAGGTTCTGGCATCGTCCTCTCTGGTTCTCAGGTGGGGCCATGAGGGGTCTAGTTGGAGGAGGGGCTTGTAAGAAGGAGGAAGAAGGGATCCAGTTCCAAGCAGGTGCAAATGAACCAAGGATGGAATGTGGTCAGCTTTGGGGCGAGGGTGGGTGGGGCACCATGGAGGAGATCACAGTGACCATAGTGGGCATCAGGGTTAGACAGAGGAGGGTCTTGGGATTCCAAAAGCTAGGGAAGGGAGCAGGCTTTGCAATAAAAATGGACTCTTGATACATGTCATGGCTGAATTAAGACATCTTTATAGCTTTATTACGGTCGTGATAAAACACCAACGGTCAGCCCTGTTTCGAACAGGAAATAAAACCCAGCATGCTTATGGTAGGAAAAGTGGCAGTCTTTCAGCCGATCGCCAGGGATGGGAGGGAGAAGAGATACTGAGAGGAAAGACACTGAGGAGAGAAGGGGGGATGGGAAAAGATGAGAGGAGAAACCTCAGGGAGGAAAAGAAAAAGAGGAAATGAGCAAAAGGAAAGGCCTCAGGCCTGCATCTGTCTGCTCAGGAGATGGGGGAAGACTCAGCCAAGGTCTGCAGCAGCATCCTGTCCATTTTCATTTGGAATCATCTATAAGGAAAACAAACCACCAAAAGGCGCACGTGGGAAAATTCCTTACTGCATTTCTAAATACCATGGAGAAACCATCAAATTAAAAGCCCTCAAGAATGAGGATGTAGGAATTCTGTGTCCCAGTCCCCTTTGCTGGGTAGCACACGCAGTGGTGGGGACCCTGGGCATCTGTTCTCGGGGCCTCTGAGCTGGGCATTTGCTCCCTCACTTGGGGCATTGTCCCCAGATCAGTGCTGCTCTTTTCTCCATCTGTCATTTTCCCAAAGGAAGGTCCATAGTGGTCTCTGACTCCTGTGTTCACACTGGGCCGGTCACTGTGAAGGTGAGAAAATAGAGGCACAGGGCAGCCTAAGCCTTGCAGCCATGGTGCTGGAAAGGGGACGGACTGACCCTGGGTGATGCCCCGCAGCCCACGCTCACTCATTGTGACATCCGATGACCCTGCAGGCTGTGCTCAGTTTCAGGTCAGTGGCAAAAGTCAACAGCGCCAGCAGCCACCAAGTTTGTTTTCCATGCAATTCTAACACGATCACCTCTTATTTACAAAACCAACCCAGTGTCCCCTGACACTCCCCATCACCCCATATCTAGATGGTGAGGAATCTGCAAGCAGAAAGGATGCCCTAACCTACACTTTTAGGTTTTGAGAAGGAACCCTTAGTTCCTTAAACATACAAACTGGCCATTAGGGCCACAGAGCTTCTCCCAGTTCAAATAAAATTAAAGCGGGAGAGCCAGCAGCCCTTAGGGCTTTCTTTTGACTAAGAGTTGAGTTCTCAGTACCTAAAGGTTTGCCTTGAGATCCTGTGGTTTTTACCTTAAACAGGCACAGAGTTGATACTGAAATCCTGGATTAGGGAAACCTTGCCATCCTGTCTTCATAACCTTCCTTTTTCCTTCCATGAAAGGCAACACGATGTGATGCTGCCATCAGGCCTGCCAGAGGGTCATTGTGCAACACATATTTGCAGATATTTGAGACGCAGAGTCAGAGGACAGAATGATGTATTTGCTGCCAAATAATTACTTTTTAAAAGAAAGAAAAAGTGTTTTCAATAAAGTGCTTTAGTCTGTTTACCAAAGTCCATCTTTAAACCCCAGTCAGAGGTAAGAAGCAGTGGGCCACCCTGTGACTTCTCACATGGTGTGAATTTTTCCCCTTCATGCATATGGAAGTCTAATTAATTGGGATAAGATGAGTCAGCTTATACAGCACAGCCTTTTGTCTCTCTGACAGAGTCTCTGTCTCTCGTGACCGTATGGATCCCCTTCTGGCCCGTGGGGGAGGCCCCAGGGACCCCTAGCTCCTTGGGAGTTCCCCAGGATGCCTCCTGATGCGGTCATGGAGTCTTCCCTATCTGTGGTGCTGTCCACCTTGGCTTGCTCTGTTCTCTCCAGTTCACTGTCAGCCCCACTGAATCAATTCTTCCAGCGGTGCCCTAGGTTGCTGACCACAGATCTCTAGATAGCGTTGGTACTTGTGTGATGTTGGTCATGCTTCCCTACTCCTCCCAGAACAGCTACTAAACCTGAGCTGAGGGGAGTCCTGGCCACAGTCTCCCTTTCACACACACACACACTCTCTTACATACATGAGAGGGCCACACACACACACACACACACACACGGGGGCACTATAAGATGATTAGGATGGTTAGTAGTGTGTGGTGTGTAGAATAGAATGGTGGAGGGGGAGAAATTGACAGGGATGGGAGGCTAAGGGCTAGTGTAGTATCAACGCTGGGAGGTGATGAGGCCCGGTCAAGAGTTGAGGTGGAAACAGAATATTGGAAATATGGAGACATTTTAAGGAATAACTCCCTAGGACTGGGTTTCTGGATATGGAAAAATAAAAGCAGGAATCAAAGATCGGGGAGAATACAGTTTTGAATCTGGGCAGCTAGGAATGCAGCATTGCTTTTGGTAGAAGAAAGAAGTGGAAATTGAGGTTCCTTGGCAGGAAAGCTCTGATAGGCTGGTTTTGAGATGAAGGCAATGTCCCGAAGGACAGCTTAGCAGATGCCCCCAAGGTGCCAGGTACTCCAGTAAGTGCTGGCTGGCGAGCCCTTTGACCTCAGAGTTGTCAGCATGTCACTGCTGTGTGAGGCACATGACCCACCTGTGTGTGAGATCTGAAGTGCTTTTTGAGTTACATAAGATAAAATCACAAAATCCCAGTCTTGAAGAGGTGGCAAGGTCTTGTCAAAAATGTTCCTGACATTCACCAGCCACATTCCTGATACTTCCAACAGCCATAGTTGGGCACTGGAATCGGTGGAAAGCCTTCCTCATCCGGACCCGCCTCTACATCTCTGTCATCAGCCAAACGCGGTGCTCTGCTTTCTGAAGCAGCACACACTCACTACTCCGTGGAAGTTGAGTTTTCAAAGGCAGTATGTCACCCTGTCCAAGAGGCTCCTTGTTCCATAGACAGATCTCCATAAACAGGAGTAGTGGGTGAGGGTTTGACCCTTCTGCCCTTCTAGGGCAGGTGGCCAAGTCAAGGACTAGCATCTGTGCTCTAGTAGCTGGAAAACGAATAGGGACAAGGGGTTCTAATACAGAAGAACATTTGAGGTGATGTGAAAACCCCAGAGTATTTCGTGGGCTGTTCCCCGCAAAGAGATGTTCTAGGACAGTGGTCGGCAAACTCATTAGTCAACAGAGCCAAATATCAACAGTATAACAACTGAAATTTCTTTTGAGAGCCAAATTTTTTAAACTTAAACTATATAGGTAGGTACATTGTTATTAACTTAATTAGGATACTCCTAAGCTGGCCTTTGCTAAAACATCCTCAATCTGATTGTGGTACGTTCGCTGAGGTCGACCCCTTCCAACTCTCCCATCCACATTCGTCTTGTATACTTGTTTTCCATCTCCTTTTGTTCATCCTCTCTATGTGTCCAAACCATCTCAACATACCTTTCTTAATCCTCGACACTACATCTTCTTTCACTCCAAAACATTCCCTAAAATTAACTTAATAAACTTTACTTAAAGTTTTAAGTCAACTTCGCACTGTATGTGCGCGCCTGCACATGGTATTTTGTGGAAGAGCCACACTCAAGTGGCCAAAGAGCCACATGTGGCTCGTGAGCCGTGGTTTGCTGACCACTGTTCTAGGAGAAGTGAATGGACAGTTGGCTCAGAAGCAGAGGCTTCTGGGAGCAGGCCTGGAAGTAGCCCTGCAGGCTCAGGGTTGCCTTTGCCAGGCTGCTAACTGCCATCCCCAGGCTTCTGTCCACCTGCCAGCACTCACCTGCCCTCCCTCCTCCATCCACTCTAAGGAGATGTGAGCTGGATGCCAAACTCTTGCTAACAGGACATTCACCATACCTGAGGCTCAGGTATTGTCCACTTTCATGTTTCTAGGCCTGGTATTTACTTAAGAAAGTTCTTTAACCTTGATTATTGCTTGGAAAAGAGTATTTGTCCCATTTCCCCAAGAC